GGGAAGAAAGTTTGTTTTTCTTTTGAACTTGATGTCGAAAAAGAAAAAGCAAAGATAAAGAATAACGTAAAAACGATATAGAAAACATTCGATTCGGTTTATTAATTCAGCCGCATTTCCTATAGTATGTTTCATCCGTGTATCTTACCAATGGTGCACTCGGGATTTAATTTCGGGAGAGCCAAATTGAACGGATAAAAAATTTTTAAATGTGAATTCAATAAAATTCCTACCTTACGTGACTTCTAATTCATAAATATAAGACGCGACACAATATAAATAAAATAATTAATTCTAATTAGGAAAAGTTATTTTTGGAAAATTTTCTAGTTTTTTTTTTTCTTTGTCTTTGGAGGGTGCCAAGGCCCTTGGGCCAACCTTAGAGTGTGCCACTGTCTCTCACTTCTAGGAAAACCTTCAATCTCATTTTTTGCAAATTCAACTTAGCCAATTGAGATAAAATTGTTTTATTTGACGCGGAACACGATTATAACAAAAAACCGACCAGCGACATACCGCAGGAAAACAGTTATAAGTTGTAACGTGTTTTAAGTAGATTTTATATTGCCAATTCATAAACAAATAAATTGTCTTTATGTAGGACCTTTTTCTTTTGGTTTTCCCAACAAATAATGTTGTTGCACTTACTCCTGATTTTCTGTCTTTATGTCTTGCACAGAACAAGCATCTTTCTATTGATGGCACAGGGTTCATAGTTGTATTTATTTCTTATTTAGATTTTTTCACATGGTATATTGTTTTTCGGATTTGGCTAAGTAAAGTTATGATATCCAAGTGATTTCTCATATGTGGTCTCTGCTAAAACTGAATTATCAGAATCAGAATTAAATGATTCCCGTAAGAATTTGCACAATAGAAGATAGAGGCACCGTCGCGCATATGCGACGTCAATCTTTACACCTGATCCTAAAAGTAAAACTAGCGCATTTATCATTGTTTGAATTACTGTCAACGCTGAGGAACTCGTGTTAAATAAAATGGAATGTAGTGAATGGTTTAAAATGTAGTCACTGACTATATTTTAAACCACCACAGTCAAATTTAGAGGTAAATATAATAGATGCCCTATTTAAGGGATCTGGGGTGTAAAAATTCCCGTTAAGTAGGTGTCCACTATTCGGGAGTGTTCGTTAATGGAGGTTCAACTGTATTATGATTTCTTGTTTAGTTCTAGAACCCTACACAGACGTTTGTCCCTCTGTAAAGGGTTCTTGCCGGTCCACCAGTAGCCAAGCGGTCTTCGACCCTGAACACTGGAGTTCCGTTGTGAGTTCGCACCTCGCTCGGATGGGCTGGCCATGTGAAGTTTCCCGGTTTTCTCCACGTCTGTAACGCCTGAATAAGGGCCAGTTTTCCTTAAAAGACCTGCCGGAAGGCATTATTTCCTCGCGCGCATATGACCATTCCATCTATAAGGCCGGCTAATTGGACGCATGCATTCATATTCCTGTTCTCTCGAAGAACATAACCTATATGAGCTGCACACTTCATATTAACCATTCGACAAAGACAGAGGGTTCTTGCAGAGTATCTTGTTCAGAAATCGAATTATCGTATGGCAACAAGAGCAAATATGACGCTCAAATTTTGTTCGTAAACAGGGGCGTTTGTAACTCGAAATTTGACTGTATTTAAATGTAATTCATCCAATTTTTATAACAGAGCAATGATTTATAATAGATGACAGCAAATAGATGCATAAAAATTTATTTTATTGATATATATAATTTCAAAAACTTTGCATAACCTTTGCCACTATATATCTAGGTACTATGCCTTTGGTCACAGCCATTGCTCCATAGGCAAGTTCATAATTGCAATTTAAAATCAGCATATAGCCTAACCCACACCATTTTATGGTATCTCCGACTCCAACTCCGACTTTTCCTTCACATCCGACTCCAGCTAAAACATCAAAACTCCACGACTCCGACTCCACAGCCCTAGTTTTGACGCCACATTTGGTAGAGTCTTTCATTAATGCTACCCGAAACTGACCAATGAGGCTTTTTGTTCCAACGCAACATCACTCACTGTTCAGCAGATCCAGGGTGCTACATAACAGCTATAGATTTGCTCGGTTACAACTGTCAAGTCTGCTGAACGCAGCCAATTTTCCAGTCTTATACCTGCATTATGTTGATGACATCCTCATTGCACATAAAGGCTCTACGAAAGAATTCAATATCCTAATAAATTTATCTTTCAGCTCCTTCTTAATGTAAATAAATATAAAGTTTATTTAGAATAATGTATTATTCTAATTAAACTTTAATAACGTTCATNTATAATCCAGGATGGAGAACAAATGGCTGTAAAGCATCAGGAGGAGTGTATTGTGGATATGCCAACCAATCAACTACTTTTACTTCTGTAATACTTTCAAACATTTCTGACATAAAATCATCAGTCAATGGTTTCTGGCTGAAAATTTTCCAAACCTCAGGAACTGTTTCATCCTTTTTGTAATCAACAGGATAAACTTTGCCCAAACTATTGAATGGAAGTTCTGGATTAATTGTTATGACTCCATCCAAATGATCAGCAGGTTGTAATCCAATAGCTGACATATTAACTTTCCCATTTACATATGTTGCTACAGTGCGATGGTATTTTCCCTTAAAATTTTGTATTTTTGTAGGAAAATTATTAAATTTGATTTTCGAAATTCCATCTATCAAAGGTACAGCAACAATTACAACATCATATAATGCTGAAGCAGAATCCATTGATTCTTTAATTTCAAAACTTTCATCTTTCATCAATGTAATGCTTAATACAGGTTTTTTATGAAGAACAACATTTGCCTTTTCTAACAGCTTTTCAGGAACTTCTTTATTACCTCCACTGACACTCCAAAGTCCAGAATCTGAGGCTGCTAGTGATACTGCACCTAAAATAATTTAATATTTTTATTAAAAAACATTTTTCCAAAATAAATTATACATAACAGGAAAAACATTTTTCCAAAATAAATTATACATAACAGGAAAAACTAACATTATCACTTATTTTTAATAAAGCTTTCTTTGATAAAGCACAAATAATAAACGAAATATTGAAAAATAACAATTGTCATCAATATTTTATAATAATTCAAAATTGTAATAATGTCACTTGGATATTTATACAAATACAAGACTTTAAACAACTCAGAAAAAAATGAGAAAAATTGTATTTACTTTAATTTATTTACCAATATTTCTTGTATTATGCATTTCAAAACTTTTTCCAACTTATTTTGCTAAAAACATTAACTAGTGATTGAAATTTTAGTAATATTCAATGGTTCTTAAAGATAAATAGAATATTTTAGAGAAAAAAAATACAAAATGAATTTGAAGACATTTTTTACAACTGATCTTTCTAATAATAAAAATGATGTGATTGCAAAGAGTAAGCAAAATCCAAAAATAAACCTTCAAACTTCATTTTTAAATTGAAAAATCTACTAAAAAACAAATAATCAAAAAATTTTCAATTATAAACTCTAAAAAATCACATTAATCACTCAGATAAAAAAGTTAAAGTTCAGATAAGAAAAGAAAAGAAAAGAAAAGAATGTGTTTGGTTAGCACAATGTTGCTGTTGAGAACGTATCATACAGGAACACTTTAAGAGGGAAAAGGGTTGCTTTATTGACTTGGACGGATATGCATTTCGGGCTTAATGCCCCTCTTCAGTCCTATTATTATTACATAATTATCAAATTGGTTACAGGTATCAAAATTTACAGAATTCATTTAAAAAATTAGTATACGCGTACAGTGATTTATATGATAAAATACAATTACCTGAGATAGTGACCATTAAGCTGGTATTACACATAAGATATATATACACATATTTAAACACGGGAGGAGGAATGAGCAAATAGTGCTATCAGATCAATATACATGCACCTGAGGATAGTATAATGTGTGTTAAAATAAAAAGTGGTATGCACAAAACTAAAAAAGTGTATATTAAAAAGGTGTAAATTATGAAAAATTAACGGAATACCTGTAGGATGTGACAAATACAGAAGAGATGTGTAGAGGACAGGTCTGATGGAAGATGTTACAAAGAAGTGAGGGATCCTTGTAACATATACAGAGGTTGGTGGGAATTGCACAGTGGGGGTTAAGGTGGGAGGATGGTAGGACAACTTTAATGGGCTTTGCATCTTAGGAAAGGCTGCCAGATGTCATTTATGACAGTACCAGTATTTAAGTTCATTCTGTGTGTTTCTTTAGTTTTAATAATTTCGATATGTTCGTAGAATTTCCTTTTAAAAATGTTTTTTTCCCTTTTAAGTANACATTTTTGACTTATTTTATAGGTCAACCTCAGATCAAAATTATAACTTAGAGTTTATACATTCTATTTTAGAATATACAGGCATTCTGTAACATTCATTAAAAATTCAAAAAATTGGAATATTAGGAAATTTTAAATGCATGTTCTAAATAAAATTTCAGAAAAACACTCAAAGAAAACTGGAAATCAATATACCAATAACTCTATACATTATATACTTTACCAACAATATTTTAATTAAAATTAATATTTTCAACCGTTTAGAGATTTGTCTCAGGTTAAAAATGTATAAATTACAAATTAAAAAAAAACCAGGGTCCACATTCTGGTCTCTCATCTCTTGCAAGCCGGTCGCTGATTGGCTAATCCAAATGATTAGCCAATCAGTGAAACATTAGCAAAACATATGAATGTTAGAATAGCTTATAGATGTAATCCAACTATATTTAAGCTACTGGCTAATGGTAAGGATTCTACAGATCAAAATTTAGCTCCTAAGTATATGTAATACCAGTGCATTATCCGAAGCTTGGCAATCTCTACTCGATAACCCAATGAGGCAAGAGAATGACATAGGCTACACTTAAATCTTGGTTAATAACATATGTAATTTATTTCATTTTTAATTTATGTTTTCATTTTAATACATAAATTATCTTTTTTCAAATATTGAACAGTAAGTCATTATTTCAAATTTACAACATTCAAAAACTAAGCTCTTAGAACTCAGTTTCTTTTTATTCTTTAATTTGTAATTTATACGTTAATTAAACCTGAGGCAGAGCTCTGAATAGGATCGAAAAAGTTTGTTTTAATAAAATATTGATAAAATACATAAATTGTAGAGTTATTGGTAAATAAAATTTACATAATAAAGGATTGAAAAAATTAAAAATTTTTTAAAAACATTAAAATGCATGTTTTAAATATTCATAGTTATATGTTCATCTATAATAAGGTATATTCGATACAGGTTAACTGTTTATATATGGTTTATCTTAAATATATATAGCACTTATTGAAAAATTGAATCATCAAAATTAAAAATTAAGATATAACTACCTACCTTACAAAATTATCCAACATTGATTTAATCCAAAACCAAAGTTTAATAATGCTCCATCCATAACGCCAAAGCAATTTTCCAATATTTACAGCTTGATTTTTAGTTTCTTTAAAAACATATTCTTTTCCATTATATATTCCTAATAAACCAGATACAGGATCTCTTCTTTTCAGACCTAAAATAATAGATAACTTAGAGAAAATATTTTATAATTTTTATTTTATATAATCAAAGATATGGACAAAAAAAGGTTGTAATACTGTTGTAGTAACAAACATTAACTATAATACTTTTCCAATGTTCATTATTTAATGTTTTGTTCTTTAATTTCAAGACTATTCTTTGTTATGCGTGATATTACTGTACTGTATTTATCCTGATAAGTAAGTGAAAAGATGTCTTCAGAAATAAAATATGATCAATGTTTTATTTTTTACTAAATGTAAAAATTCTGCTGTTAACTACAGTTTTTTACTAAAAATTTTTGTTTGATATAATGTTAATTTCATCTGAAAAATAATATTTTATAATTATTTTTGTGACCCATAAATCAGTCATTCTATCATCACAGGTTAAACTGCTAATAATTTTTCTCTATGTATATATTCATTATCAATCAAAATATGTAAATTAACATATTCATCATTTTTTTGGAAACAGCAACGTTACACAAATTATATCCAAGGGATTCAAGCCATGGTGAAAAATATGAATTATTAATTCTCATCGTGCTTTCAAGTATAAATGTATTGTAGATTCTAAGGACCAAGTATTGTGGGTAGAGTACACTTTCCTTAATAATAATCCCATAAAATCTACCATTCATATTCAATGTTAGATTCAAATTTCTGATCTGATGAATTTGGAATGATGTGTTAGCGTATATCATTTTCTAAATGAATGTTATTACAACCATTTTTTTATACAAAATTAAAATTTGTTTCTAAAAATTTTTAAACAAACATTTAATAAGGATTCTACAATCTATTAGTTATAAAAATTACACAAATTAAATATACAATAAATATAAAATTCCTAAAAGTTAATCATACAGAAAATGAATTACTAATATTCAATACAGAATATCATAAATTCTAAAGACTAATTTGTAACTTCTACAACTGCTAAAATAACAAACTACAAAATTTCTTACTGCAACTAACTCTACCCAGTCACATTTCTCACATGCTAATCATCACTAGTTCTTACTAAATCTAAAGGGATTTAATTATAATTTGAATTATATTCTTGCAATTTTCTTTTATATTACCATATTATTATCTTTTCCGAATATTCTTTTCCAATATTTTTCTTAATAATTGAAAGAACTTCTTTTTTATCTCAATATTTAATTTTTATTCACACATTATGAACTTCTCTCTTCAGCAACAGAATTCATTACCTAATGAAATAATAAGGCAGAAGAAATGATGGACAGACATGTTTTGCCCATAATATATGTATGATGGGCATAACAAGCATCAATAGTTATTTAATTCATGAATTACAATTTTACATAGCAGTTAACAAAAAATAATTCAGAATATTTTTATATATACATTAGTCCCTTGTTATATCACTTACTTGGATTTTGTCTCCAAATATGCATGATATTACAAGAGATTATCATATTAATTTAACATATTATTTTATTTAATATCTAATTAAATAAAATAATAAATAATTGTTCTACCTTGATACTTAAATAATCATATATAAGAGGTTAGATAGTAAAAGACAAAGAAAAGGTCATATATATATAAAATATTATAGGTAAAGGAAGAACACAGAGAAGATAAGTTTACTGAAAGATAAAGAGAAAAAGATATTAGTGAAAGGAAGAGATGTAAAGTTTAATAAGCTTCTAAATGAAGATGCAGAGTTGGATGGTAGCTCAAATATAGAAGTCAAAGAGACTATAATTGAAAATATAAGATAATGTAGTTTCAACAAAAACATGTAGGAGCAGATCACATGCCTGTTGACATGTATAAAATTTTAGTGAACTAGGAATAAAGTGGTTAATTAGTCTATTTAATAAACCAGCAATAGGAGACTCAATGAGAGAGTAATGGAGGAAGAGCTGAATAGTATCATTATATAAGAAAAAGATATGTAATGGGAATGTGATCATTACAGAGAAATAGTTTTATCTCTCTGTAATGATCACATTCCCATTACATATCTTTTTTCTTCAAGTCATACAATGAAATTCTAAGAAAGGATTAAGAATATTAGCATTAAAAATAAGACTATACATAAACAAAAATCATCACTAAACCCGATATATTTAAAGCTATACACCAACCAATATCGAATATTATCAGGCTAAAATCAGCTATAACATTAATAATTTATAAGACAATTTGGCACTAGAGTTAGATGTTAGGCACCATCTCTTGATAAAATTTAATAATTATAAATTTTAATTAAATAATTTAGAATTACTAGAAGAAAAGAATTGGCCTGAAGTGGACTCGAACCAACAACCCCTGCTTACTGTGCAAATGCATTGCCAATTATGCTACCCGGACTAGAGAATTATTAATATTATAGCTGTTTCTAGCCTGATAATATTCGGCATTGTTGTTGTATAGCTTTAAGACTACACCTATCTAATTTGAAAAAATTTTATATATTTTAATGCGTTCAAATTCAGAACAGATAAATTCATTTTCAAGTAAAAAGTAGCATCAATTTTAAGCAGAGATAAGTTTCTGAATGGTAATTAGGTGAACTGTAAGTGAATTAGAGTTATATAAATTGTGCAATTTTCAGATAAAAATTAACCGTAGCATGTTTGTATACATACCATAGCATATCAAAAATAAAAAGAATGAAATAAATATAATAAAATTTAATTCCAGGAATGACAACAAAGATATTTTCCTGCAAAGTTGCAGGAAAATATCTTTGTAGATGGTTAATAATCTGTTGCAAGTAATTCAATATTATAAATTCTTACAGAATACTGAAACATACTGATTGAATTAAATTTGCTTAAGAACATGATTTGGAGAAAATTTAGTTATTTTCTCTTAATTATGCTAATTCACATATATTATTTACTGCCGTGTAAAAATGTAATTACAAATGGTTAACAATTCCATTCAAGAATAAATCTGAATTAATATTTATTAGAAAATTTTCAAAGTTATAATAGAATTTATTATACATAAATATATAAAATAATTTCCTCTTTTAAAAATACAAATAATTAAAATGACTTCCTATATCAAATTTTGATGAAATTTATTGAATAGGATTATGATTGTGCTGAATTTACTGATTTCAATTAATTAAATCAACTTTTTAAGTAAAAATGAATTAAATTAAAAGAAATTTTCTATAAATTTTAATTTTATTATTATAAATAAGATGAATAATTATGCATTATTGATATCATAAAATAGTTACATCAATAATGATAGTTATTTCACAGCTTTCTTCATTAATTACTCCCACCTATTTTAAGAGAATGATCTTAAAGTACCTATNATGGAGACTTGGGGCTACTACCACATACAAACACCATTCACGTACGATGTGTAGTTTTGGCGAAAAAGTGAAATATAGGGACATACATGTCCATTTATATATATATATATATATAGATGAATAATTTAATAAAGTTGTTAGTTGAAAGAAAGGAGGAAAAAATTATTCTTTTCGTCATTCTAGATAGAAAAATTCAATTGAGGATATGAAACCTGATCAGAAATCGATCTACAGATGCTCCATACTAAAATATAATAAATCTCTCTCAATCTGCTCCACCCCAATGCTATTATATATATAACTTCTGTATCTTGAAAAATTCCTTAAAATAATTATTCTATATTCGAATTACACTCATATAAATCGGTTTAAATAAGACAATAATAATAATAATAATCTTAATAAAAATTCAATTGCAGTTCCATTTGTAAATTTTAATTCCACTTTCTACATTATGGGAATTTATATTTATCTACACTATCCTCTTGACAAATTTCAAAACAAAAGTTATAAAACGTCCTATGAAAAATCAATTTTTATTACACATTTTCATCCATTTTGTAAATGAAAACAAAATTCTTATTGATTTAAGTGCTAATAAATTATTATAATGCATACAATCAATCAATTAGCTGTTATTGCTGATTGAAGAAACATTCTGAATTGATTTTTTACCATTCCATTTGTGATTCATCATAGTTTGTTAGACTGCCTTTATCAAAACATTCTTAAATCCTTCAAGATTTTTTGATGGCTACTGATTTATATCAAATTGAAGCTCTGTATACTGAATAAAAAAATCAAAAGTCATTACCATGGCTTCTTTCTATCATAAACATTTTTTCATTCATATTGATCTTATTGTTAAGAACACCATTTAATAGCAAGAAAACTTCCATCTCTAATTTAAACAGATAAAATTTTTTCTATTCCATTAAAAATAATTCTATTCAAAAACTGTTGTCAGATTGATAGTCTTCACTTCAAAATTGATTTATAGTTTCATATTCTTTAGAAATGTTCTGTTAATAATATACATACAGTTATGATCAGTGAGATTAAAATGGAATATTTTGATCTCATTAACCTGAAATTTAAAGAGCAAGTTTAAAAAAAAATAAAACATTTTCTGTAATAAATTTTAGATTCTATAAATATTACAAAGAGGGAATATTATATTAAAACATATAAAGAGTGAACTTATATTAAAATCTTAACAGAGATCATTTATAAATTGTATGTCAGAAATACCTTATACAATCAACATTATAAATACAACATTAAAATATTATACCATTATTTATAATTCATTTTTACAGATACCGTGTTTCCCCGAAAATAAGACAGTGTCTTATATTAATTTTTGCTCTGAAAAATGCACTAGGTCTTATTTTCAGGGAATGTCTTATTTTTTCCAGGAAGAAGAATTCACATTTATTATTCAACAAAAAAATTCCCAAGTCGAACTTAGACGAGAGTGACGTATATCCGGTGTGTCGAACTGTCACCTTTTTATACCGTCAACATTGGACTCGATGACCAATTAGTGCTTCTTGAACAGTAGCACTATGCAAATGTCATGTGGCGTGATTCCCGGCCGACCAATTAGCCATCACCAGCCGTAACGTTATGCAAATCTGTGATTCCCAA